GAAGCCAAATTATACATAACACCCAATTTCACTATTTGTTCACGAATAAGTGTGTTTGGTATACTTTTTCCCCTATTAGTTGGATGTTTATGAATAAATGAAGTTCCATCTTCAAGATCTTGAATAAGTTTTCTGGCAATTGATGAAAGAGATAATAAGTTAGTGGATGAGGCAAAAAATCTTACAAGCCAAAGGATAGTTCCAGTTTCTGCTCCAACTGCTTTACCTATGTGTGGTAACATTGCTTTACCTGTGTGTGGTAGCATTGCTATGCCTGCATCCAGGTTTCTAAAGTGTGGAGTATCTGATGAATATGATGAAGTTGAAGAATTTGATGATGAAGATGAATTTTGTGATGAATCTGATGAAGTTGAAGAATTTGATGATTCTTGTGAAATTGATGAATCTTGTGAAATTGATGAATCTTGTGAAATTGATGATTCTTCAGCACCAGCTTTAGCAGCTACTTCTGTAAAATCAAAACCTCAAAAGATTGAAACTCTTTATAATTTTCTCGATTTTCAATCATTTGATGGGTCATTTTTGCCATCTACTAAATTTTATTCTTGGTTTGATAAAAATGATTTTAAAGATTTTGAAATTATTGGAATTGAAAGTGAAAAATTATTATGTTTGGCATTAGCGATGGCATATTTAGAAATTATAATGTTTGAAACATTTAAGGAAGAAAGTGAAATGTGTTATGAAAAAGCTAAAAAGGTTTTGAAAAAAGAAGTTGGCGATGATGAGCAAAAGATCAATGAGATTTTGGAAAAAGCCAAAGAATGGGTTAAAAAATGGGCTGCCGAATAATTGCTTAGTATGAAATATAGCGTTTAGGCATTTTTGGATAAATATGTTTTATTAGTAACTAGTATTAGAGCCCTTCATACGACGGGCTATATGGTATGAAATAACTGCTACAAACATATGCGAATGCTGCAGAAATCGTTATCTTATATAAAGAGTTCATCGGGGGCTATATGTTATGGTCATTTATCAATTGGCGCATGCCTTTTTTCAATTTAAAATGGAATGCGCCGTTTTCAATCAGCATTTGTAATTAATACAGAAATTATTACGACGTATTTAGACTTATGCGTATATTCAAATCTATGCATTTTTCGCATTTTTCAATATATTCCAATTATTAATTGCCGTATTTAATTTTTTAAATTAGAAAACGGCATAGATCATTTTGTATACAATTTTAAAAAAAAGTAATAACGATTTAAATAAACATACGCTTCGCATGTGTGTGTTCAACGAATTATAATCAAATTTTATGCATATTCAAAATATTTCAAATTGCTTTAACAAATGAAACACATCCATATCATTTTGAGTATAGTATTTTTCACTAGTGACTTTTGATTTGTAGCAATTTTCTTAAAAAGAAATTATTCTATTATAGTTTGGACGTTTTTGAATATTTTAGATAAATATTTATATTAAAAGTGTTAAATATTATGAACTAAGTTCTTAAATATTAAGAACTTGTCATATGCATTTTGGTTATTTCCAGACTTTAATATCGGTCAATAAATGTTCCCTGATCTGCAATCTATAACAAAATCAATATAATCTTGTACCACTATTATATATATTTATTTATTTTGTACTAGAACTATTATTTTCTAAAAAATATGATTTTGGTTTTATTTATTTAATTTATTAAGAAAATTTATATTGTTTTTTTTTTACTAAGATAAAATGCAAATTATTTTTTAAGATTCTCTAAATAAAAAAATGCATTTATATAAAACTTGCTAAAAACAAAATCTTAGCCATTACTATTTTTTTAATAAGCTTTTTAGCTTTTCTAATTTGGGTTTATTTTAAATTTATACTATTGTTAAAACTCTTTGCATTCATATTTGGCAGTAAAAAATAATAGTAAAAATTTAATGTCAACATTATTGTTATTTAATGCTAATATTAATGCTAATCTATTAAAATTTTACTTAATTATTATTGTTGTTGTTGCAAAAAATATAGCTTTAGATTGAATTCTTAAATACATCCATCATTATTACCAAGTATAATTTCAACTATCTTGATAATAATTTTTAAAATATATAATTTAAAATTTTTATTATTAAAAAAATATTAATTATATTTAAAAAAATCAAAAATGGATAATTTTATTATAAAAAAACTCTTTTTGACTATCTTCTGATCAATAATTTCAAAAAACAAACTACAGAAAAATGTTATGGAAGATATCAAAATATTTAATAAACTTGGTTCTATGCAAGTAGATGTGTTGTTGATGAAGTATCAAGAGTGTAAAACTAAGACACAGACAACTTTAGATAGTTTTTATAGAGATCAAGTTTTCTGTGATGGACTTTTCTATTATATTTGGCATCCAAACCAGAAGGATATTCTGGGAACATAGAATGACTAGGTCGACACTGAGAATATTAAAGACTTGAATTATTATTATACAATTATAAAACTTACAAAAAACAACTACAAAAAAGCTTCATTGATCTATCACTTTTTTAAGGAAATTTTGGTAAAAAGTGTGTATTTTAGTTTAGGGAGCTTCCACTTATTACGTAAATATAGCCCCCTCCAGAGTCAGTCATTTGACAATTATAAGTTCTAAAGTAATCAATCATTTGACAATTGCAAGCTCTAAAATAACCAATCGTATAGAGTTTATATTATGATTACTTTAGAACTTGTAATTGTCAAATGATTGACTCTGGAGGGGGGCTATATTTACGTAATAAGTGGATGTTCTCTTACATCTCTAAAAGATTGGTATGTAAATTCACCAAAACAGTCAATATTATTGATTTCTCAATGCAGATGTTTATGTTGTTTGTTTACTTTGTAAATCAGTAGACAAATATACAAACAGTTATTCAGAGTAGAAGTTGTTATAAGGGTGAATAGGTGAAATGTAACTGATACAACACAGTAGTAATGTGTTTTAATTTCTGTAAACTGCCAATGATACTTCAAGACTACCCTAAAAACTATTCTGTCTAGTTGAACTTAGTTTTTCTAATTTAGTTTATATTTTTTCTTTGTAGGTTTTTATAGATACATATATTATTAGGATAGAATTAGATGCAGAACTTCATTATTTTGTAATATGTAATTTTTTAAAGTCTGACACAGGCTTATAATTGTAACTGATCAGTTCTTTTTTTCTTTTTTATTTCTTTTTTTTTTTTTTTAGTATTAGTTTTAGTATTAGTGCTTTTTTTTTTCTGCTTCTCTATAAGAAGATGTTATCAGATTGGTAGTATCCTATTATATAGTAGTGGTCTCTGACAGTGCTTTTTGGAATAAATAAGTTTTTTTGAAATTTATTATAATATATCTTTTTAGATATATTTGCCCAGTGCAGCCAGTTGCTTATAAGTGCTCTTAAAAGTAATTGCAGAATGTTAATCTCAATATTATATTCACTTAAATGTGCTTTTTGTTTATCAACAAATCGAACTTAATAAAGAATATTGGCAAGATGGCCAAAGAGGAAAAAAAATTTAAAAATGTGGTTTAGATCCTATAGCTTAGTAGTTAAGCTTCAAAAATCATAGCACACAGTAATAATTTATTCAATGATGCAGCTGATAGCATAGCTAAAAGTTGAAATCATACAACTAACCTTGAATTTTTATATAGTAATATCTACAACCCATTGTACTATCTACAATATACAACCTGTGTGTTTGAACAACCAACTCATAAATCTATTAAGAACATTTGTAACAACTATATCATAGCAATGTAGTCTTCTCAACACCGAATGGAAAACATTATTCTTTTAGCAACACAAATTGAATAGAATGCAACTTGGTTTTATCTAAACAATAACTACAAAAAATCATCCTCTTACACTAACTTAAAACTTTGCCAAGAAAAAACCTTCAAAATCAAACTTATGTTCAACATACTACTTATATTATCAAATCTACACATATTTTATATCCTCAGTATTTTCCAAATATCAACTGTATCTCATATAATTCACATAAAAGTCAGATGCATTGGCTTGTATGCCCAAACACAGCTAACCTTAACACAATTATCACCAATTCAATACAACAATTTTTGCAATTCTCAAGACTTGATATAACAAACACTCAATATCAAGAGCTACATCATAGACTTACTTACCACCCTAGCCTATCACTTATTAATTACACCAGAAATAATACAACATTTGGATAACTATACAAGAATTTATATCTACCACACTTATACAAACCATTAGAGAATATACAGACTCTAATAAAATAGCAACAAACACTACTATCCTGCTACTTATGCAATTATCTCAAAATATATACAATCTGATCTGAAAACCATACTGTACTAAGTTATCGAACTGGAAGCAACAACACAATATATCCATATATATTAACAGAAATTAAACAAGACAAAACATTGTACCTACTTCTAACAACTTATGACCAAGAATACCATATACCTACAGCTGCTGCTATAGTCTGCCTGATCAACAACACATAGATAATGACTGCCCACCACTCAGAAAAGCAATAAAAAAAGCCTCAACATAGTTAACTACAGTACTTGTATAAAATATAGTACATCTACTAATAACATTATACATTATAGAATCTAGGTGAGTTTTTAACCACTCTAGTAGGTTTAGATTGCAGATAAATTAGA